AATTACAGGCATGTGCCACTGAACCTAGCCCAACTAGGACTTTGAGGGGCAGAAGTGATTGCTTCTAGTCTCCCAGGAAGTCAGTTGGAAGGAACTTGGGAGTAGCCTATTCCATAGCACAGCACTTGAGAAATTCTCAATTAATTGCTTTTTTGCTCTTTGATAGCAGAACCTGACATGCAGAAATCACATGGGAGAATTACTTGTCTCTAGACTCTGCTTGGTCAGACTCTAGGAACCTTCCCATGTACCACCTAAAATGGGTCACTTTTATCTTTCTCCCTTCCTAGGTTCCAGGTTTCCCTTTCTGAGACCTCTTTCTGCTCTTGGTCCCCACTCTAGGTATCTCTGCCACTGCCTTAAAAAGACCCCATCCTTCTCCTGGTGACCCTCCCTTCTCTGCAATAACACTAGGAATATCAGAGGGCAATTCCGATGGCGTGTTAATGACTTCTAACTCTTCATTTGCTCTGTCCTCCAGTGAGATAACTGCCTTTTAAGAGAAGCCATTTGTAAATAATGCTTAAGGCAAAAGTGTAGGTCTCTAACATTGACCCTTAGGGCTTTTTAATCCAGACCTCCTTTCTGCTATTAAGAATAGGTACACCTTTAGAACAGGGATGATGTCATACATGCTATGTCCCCCTCCCCATGCCTAGTGCTGATTAAGTCATCTGAGTGGCCACAGAGAGTTGGATACAAATGGTAAGGTACATGTGACTTAGGATAGAATATTTGGATAAGTTTCCATCACCCTGACTCATCCAGGCAAAGCACGGAATTAAACTCCAGAAATTCTCAGACTCAAAGTAAGAAGCCTCTCGTTATTCCCAGAGAGTCAGAATCAATTGGCTCGGGGGCTGTTAGGTCTGCATTCTTCAAAGGTGCACCAGGTGATTCCAGAAACACAGCATCTCCTTTGGATAAATTATCATATCCTCCCAGCCGGTTTTCTCCTCTGCAAAATGGGGTAACTGAGAAGATCAAGAGAAAATAAAAGATGAGAAAGACATTGAAACTCTTTAATACAGTGCAGACTACCTGTGTCAGATTCACCTCCCCGAGGATATTTTTCATTTGTTTTCTGGCCCCCCCTGCCCAGTCTGCATTTGCATAGCTGTGGTGCATGGGGCTGGCACAAAATTGGTCATTTGAAGCTTGGATTGGCCAAGACCTCTTTGATTAACGGTTTGCAATGCACTTACTAATTTGGGACTTACTAGCACCATTGATCATTTACTTCTTTTTTTTAATATTTATTTTTTAGTTGTAGTTGGACACAATGCCTTTATTTTATTTATTTATTTTTATGTGGTATTGAGGGTCAAACCCAGAATCTCGAACACACTAGATGAGCACTACACCACTGAGCCATAACCCCAGCCCCGTTAGTCATTTACTTCCAAAGGAGGGGACAGCTTTTCATTGATTTGTTTTGTATTTGCTTAATTTTTGCTTTTGTTTTTGTTTTCATTTGAGAATCATTATGGGAAATACAATTAATGAGTATTTTTTAATATTTATTTTTTAGTTGTAGTTGGACACAAAACCTTTATTTTATTTATTTTCTTTTATGTGGCGCTGAGGATCGAACCTAGGGCCTCACATGTGCTAGGCTTGCGCTCTATTGCTAAGCCACAACTCCAGCCCCATATTAATGAGTATTTTTTCACTCAGAAAATACTTACTCAGGAATGCCTACACAGAAAATACTCACTCTGAAAGTGTTTCCTAAGTGCTTGCTGTTTACTGAAGACTGAACTATATGAAGTTAAAGTTAGTCTACTCATGAATTTCATGCCTTTGTTTGAATGATCTATCCCACTTTATGATAAGTTCAAGTTTACTTCATTTGAGCCATGAAGACCTCTACCAAAAAAAAAAAAGGATAAATATCTCCCAAATTCTTTCACCTATAAATATTGATTTATCCATTCAGTGTTTACTGAATATCTACTTTTGTACCAGGTACTGGGGTAGACACTAGTTATACAAAGGTGAATTAGACATGGATATCACTCTCAAGAAAGTTATAATTTCACTGTTTATCTATGACAAGTAAGTAATTATAGTAGTATACTGTGATATTACTATTATAGAAAGTAGTAATTAAGCTTATAAAGCACTTACTATATGTTAGGAACTGTGCTAAGTTTATATTTTACCTTTACAATATTATGTAAGGTTCTATTATTATCCTTATTAGCCTGTAAGAAGGCTTACAGATGTTAAGAAAGTTGCCCAAAACTGCACACACAGTAAATCAGTGTTAAAGGTAGGATTCAGCCCTGTCTATCTAACTGCAGTGCACCCCACTTTAATCACACCCCACCTTCATCTGCTCTTAGAGAAGCTCAGAGAAGGCCAACAACAACCTGTAGCAACTTGGTAGCTTATCCAATACCTACATCTTGATAGGTGTCGTATATTTATTCTCATTTCTTTCAATAAGACATGAGGCCGACCTTAATATTATCCCCATCTTACAATTGGAAAAACTGAGGCTCGAAGGTATTACAGTTTGGTTCACATCTATCCAACCAGTAAGCCAATACCTTGGGGTTCAGGCTTGTGTTAGAATGACCCCAAAAGCTCACATACTTTCTGCTCTACCTCACAGCTGATCAGAGTTTAAATGTGAAGCATTCCTGGGAAAGACTCCTCGGACACGCTCTCCTTCCCTGAGTTTGAGATCCCTGACATAACAAACCCCAATGCCACTGAGGCATTGTGTAAGCAGCACCTTACTTGGGAGGGCCCTACCTTGTTGGGCCGGTGGGTTTAAGGAGGGTTTAGCTCCTCATAGGACTAAATGGCCTGGCTCTGCCAACACAGGGTGGCACAGTGGTGGAAGGGTCGATTTGCATTATCATGCCTGGCCTCGTACTGTAATTACTTTGTCTATCTTGGGCACATCAGCACATTTCTCCAATGCTAAGTTAGATATTTTTGTAAAGGAGGGACCCCATAATAGCTTAAAAATGATTCTATTAGATTTTCAAGCCACACTTGTATTTTTAATTTTATTTTTTAAAATCCCACTCAGGAATATTAGTTTTCTTTACAGACCAACTAAATCATTCCCTTGTGCCTCTGAATGCAGCGCAACAAACTCTTCATCATATACAATAGTGCCTCTTTCTCTTCATCATGTACAATAGTGCCTTTGATGGAACTTTAAATCCCCCACTGAAGCCCCATGCTGGCTGGCCTTCCACAGACCAGGTTTCCAAAGTCATTTTCTTTCATGGGATAAAACCAAACAACCCCCCGACCCCAAATTACTTGTAGTTGGTGATTGATCATATTCTTTAATAATCCATCCTCTCTCTCTCTCTCTCTCTCTCTCTCTCTATCTCTCTCTCTCTCTCTTTCTGTCTCTTCTTCCCTCTCTCCTTCTTGCTTTCTCTTTTAATCTCAGTGGGAGTTGGGGGGTAAAGTTCTTCAATCCTTGGATCAACTTCATTTTTCATGTTTTGTCTGCCATCGGGGTCTGTGGGTTGATAAAGGGTCAGTTCCCTTGGGTTGTCTCTTCTCTCGTGTTGAGGCTTTATATTCTTACAGAGAGCAACTTGGAACTAAGTTACTGCTACAGCATTAGGGCTGGCATCGTGGAGCACAGACTCTGTCTGTGTTAGTCCTCTGTCACCGACTACTCTACCCAGCTTTTGGCTTCACCTAATGATAAATGGTTCTATTGTTTGAGCTTCAGTATTAAAAAAAAAAAAAAGAACTAAATCTAGATTAAGCAAGGACAGAGACCCATTTCATTGCACTGTACTTTAATATTCCTGAGATCCATGCCATTACGGGTGGCTCCTTTTAACAGCCATCTCCCTCCAGGGCAAACACTATGCTGTCTTTGTTTCATCTGATCTTTCAGCTAAATAAGAGATGGTCACTTATCCTCACTACTCCCATATCCTGCTGGATTTCTATTGCTAAAAGAGGAACTGACCACACGGGGAAAGGTAGAGGTTTCAGGCAGAGCATTTCAGCGTGTGTTTACAGGCAGGACCGACTTACTCAGCAAATCCTGCTCGGAGGAGCTGCAGCCAATGAAGAGGCCACATCCCGGCTTGCTTGGGGGCTTCTGAGTTTGAGCTGCATGCAGAAATGTAAGGCAGTGCTTCCTGGCTCTGATGGCAAAATGGGACCCATCTCCAGTTATTCCTCGGGCTCCCCAGCTTTGCAGATCTGGGAGAGAACCTACATAAACATATTGGTGATGTAGCCAGCTCTGAAGACCGGGAGAATCCTTATGGATTCAGGAAACTGGTTTTTTATTTAGAATTTTATTTTTTATTTGGAAGATGAAATGCTTCTCTCGTTACCTGCCTTACATCTTCAGACCTCCGAACACCATCCTCTCTTCCAGCTGCCACACGGAAGGTACAGACCAGAGAGGGAGAGTGTCTGGGTGGGTGGCACAGAGTGGGCTGGTGTCTGACTTCCCACAGGTTCTGCTGACGCTGCTTTCTGCAGCTACTAGATGACTGTCGTTCCTGGCAAAAGCTTGTCTCTTTCAGACTTAGATCTGCTCCTAAAATCAGCCTGTCTTGTATAAAGAAGGGAAGTCTTTTCTGAAAAAGCGGGATAATGTTGCAAAGGTGATCTCCAAGCTGACAGCTGGTTAGAAAATAATGCAGAAATATTTTGCCAATTTCCCTTGTTCCATTTAACCTGCAAACAAGTCGTTGGAACTAGTGCTAAGAAAAAAAAAAATTCAGTAAGTGCTGCCACATACATTCATCCAAGCTCTCTGTTTTGTCACTGTCTGTTTAATAACTTGGTGCATGCCCAAGAAAGCAATTAGCAAAATAGAATTAGCTTCGTACATGTCTGTGGAGAGTTGATTGTTGGATTGGTTCACTTGGAGTCTGTACTTGGGTTATAGAGCACAGTTCACTTTCAGCACTTACTGGAAATGTTGTTTTGGGGGGTCCTGAGTCAATGCTTTAAAGAGAGGTTGAGCTGAGCCTCGTACACATTCCCTGGTCCCGGGTTTTTTCAGAGACCTCCTCTTCCACCTTCTAATCTGTGTGTGCTATTTGCACACATGTGTGTATGTTTCTGTGTGCACACGTGTGTGCCTTGTAAACACTCTGGCAGTTCTTCCACTAAGCACTGCAGGCTTCAACATTTCTTTAATCTGTAGCTGGTTGTGCATCTTCTGTAAGTGATTGCCTGCTTCTTTCCAACTGACACATTCTTGAAAAAGAACAATTTCAAAAAAAGCAACTGGCTAGACATTTTTCAGCCTTAGGGACTGTCCTACAAGTGGTACTTTGACTGAAGAGGGTGAACGATGGTGAGGTGCTGTGACTCCACCTCAGATCCAGCCACTCTCTTCTGGAACAGAGCTGGTGACCAGCCCATGGGGAAAACCCACCCTTGTTTTTTATCCTGAAAGCAGGAACCTGGTGTTGAGGACTGTGTTCATAAAATGTATGTGCATTATACCATACAGTGATTTTTTTCAATCAGCATTCCCAGGGAAAAGGGAAGAGATGTTCGGGATAACCCTCAAATTGAGACTGAGGATGGTATTTTTCATAGACATTGATATCTCATAGATTTATTTTTACAATTGCATATTTCCCTTTAAAAAATATATTGGTTGCTAAGTGTAGTAACTCACTGGGAATATTTTTTTCTTCCTCATGGATGAAAACCTAGCAAGTCCCTACATACGTTGGGGTGAGAGAGGAGAGACCATTGGCATAGATCAAAATCTCCAGGAGAACTTTCTAAATACAAAGGCCTAGGGACACACAGGAAGCTGCATAGATGGCTTTTGTATTTCTGATTGGTTCCCTGTCTTCTCTCAGCTTAGACGGAGAATTCAATCATTTCTGTTCTGTTCAGTTGCTGTTTGTATATTAATCAAACTAGATAATCCTACATCATACAAACAAAAATACCACCACAAGAAGTTTCATAAAGTATCATTTAAATGCAATTTAACTGATTAGCTCCATCAACATGGAAAGCCCACTTTGTGTCAAAACAATTTCTACTTCATCCACTATCAGCAGATGGTAGGGGGCATGTATTGAAATTTGTTGTAATCATAATAAATACAATGGGTAAGAATAATAACATCTGCCAAACTCATGTCAGGATGAGGCCCCGTGGCTTAGTAGAAAAGGCCCAAGGTAGATACCAGAGAAGCAGGACCACATCACTGAATTCCTCTAGGCCAATTTCATCCATAATATGGAAGTAAAGACCTTCTCTTATGGATTTGTAGAATTAAATGTGATAAATAATTTTCTTCATAAAGCTCAGCACACGATAGGTACTATATTTTTGAGCCTCACGTTCCATGTGTTTTCTTTTCTTTTTAAAATTTTTTTTTGTGGTTGTAGATGGACAGAATGCCTTTATTTTATTTGTTTATTTACATATGGTGATGAAGATCCAATCCAGTGCTTCATGCATGCTAGGCAAGTGCTCTACGACTAAGCTACAGCCCAAGCAAGCCCCCATCTGTTTTCTTAAAAAATATTCAAGTTTTCTTTTTTACTTATACCATCTTAAACAATGAGAGGCTTCCTGAAACACATTATTGTGTCACCAAAAACTAGTTACCATACTGAAAGTTTGTCTGAGGAGAAAAAAGATGTTGGAAATGAGTCTGAGTTTATTTTTCTTCTGTGTGTGTGTGTGTGTGTGTGTGTTTGTGTGTGTGATTCTCTTTATATTGTTAGCAATTATGTGACCCTGGACATGACTGTATTTCAGAAAAGTTACAACTATGTTCTTCACATTTTATTTAACTGAAAAAAATGAAGAATGAATAATTTATGAATATCCCTATAAAAGTCAAATAAATTCAAATGATCCAAACAGTCTCCCTAAGAGTAATTGTAAAACAACTTTAAGAGCTTCACAGTTCCTGGGCTTCTTAGTGGACACACCATCACACTTTGAAGATTCAGGATATCATGAGCTTTGACTCCTAAGCTATGCCACTTGCCAACTGGGTGATGTTAGATCGTTGATTAACTTCTCTGAGCCTCGGCTTCCTCATTTGTAAAATATGGGAGAAAAACACTCCTAGGGCAATTACAAAGAAATACCTCAGAATTTCATACTCAAAGTGCTAATAATAATGATGATGAGCAGGGCGTGGTGGCACATGCCTATAATCCCAGTGGCATAGGAGGTTGAGACAGGAGGATGGTGAGTTCAAAGCCAGCCTCAGCAACATCGAGGCACTAAGCAATTCAGTGAGACCCTGTATCTAAATAATACAAAAAAGACTGGGAATGTGGTTCAGTGTTCAAGTGCCCGAGTTCAATCCCTGGTAGTAGTAGTAGTAGTAATAATAATAATAATAATAATAATAATAATAATAATAATAATAATAATATTGATGGTGAGGATCAGCCTTCATTTACATTGATACAATGTCCAAGATATTGTCTCAGTACATTTTATACAATAACACATTCACCTACATTGAAATTAAGAATATGTGTTTCACAAATAGTTCCTTTCCCTGCCCCCTCAGCTCCCAAGCCTGTTTTTTTTAATCCATCAGATGGAGATTTGGTTCTTCATATAGCAGCCAGAATGATTTTTAAAAATACAATCATCTTCCCACCCTCCCCCTCAAACATAAACACACATTGAAAATCTCTCCATGGTTTCCCACAACCTACCCAGGCCTGGCTGTTCTGACACCTGCCTGACTCCTTACCTAGGCCCAGGCATCTTCCTCCTGCCTGACCTCCCACTATGAGGGCCATCATGGGTTCCCCAACATCTCTCTGCAGCCACAGGCTTGTAGGATGCTTCCTTTCCCCTCCACCCTACTACCTCATTAAGTTAGCCTTCCACTCTCAGCTCCAGCTAAGAAGCCCTCACCCTCAGTCGATCACAGCTCTTTAAGAACTGATTTCTTCACTCAGAGCACTTAACCCTAGTTTGTCATTATGAATAAACTGATTAGACTATTTTATTAATATCTGTCTCCCTGATATGCTGAAAGTTTTGTAGAAGCAGAACGCAAGCATAATTTTACTTTCTATTGTATCCCCCAGCACTATAACAATATCAGGTACATAATGGGTACTCCATAAATGCCTAATGTGTGCCTGAATCAAAGGACAACAAGTACCAAGGCCATATAGATAAATTTTAAAATCATTCGTGGAAAACATATCCCAAACACTAACTCCCGTTTAAGTCATCTTAATCATTGTGGGGTGGGGGCTTCCTGCAGCCAGATTTAAGGGGACAGGTCTTGTTGATCACAGTGCTCTTCTTCAATTTGAAACAAGAAGATGCACACAGAAACAAGGGTAACCGAACAATGCTGATACAGGATCGGGGTTTCGAGCGGACAGCTGGGCGATCTTTGCTTCTCTGTGGACCTCATTAAAGAAGCACATAACTCCTGCCCCCTTGGCAGGAGAGGATTCATCCAGGAAGATTGTTTCAGGATTGGAGGAACAAAATCCAGCCACAGCCAGAAAGAAACCATTCAGAGGCAGAACAGAGGGATAGCAAAACCCACAGGAAGGGTAGGGCCCGCGAAGACAAGGAATCTTGCCTGGTGCCTTTTTGTGGGCCTGATTTGGCAGCAGACACTGGAGGGCCCCTTTGTTACATAAGCAGTCAGGAGGGATGCCTTTTCCTAAAGGGTTAAGGGCCATGTCCCTCGCCATGTGCTCTTTTTTATCCTGAATTGTCCTCGTCACATTTTCATCTGCAAACCCCTGCTCATTCTTGAAGACTCCACCCAAGTCTTTCTAGGAAGACTTCTTTAGCAGTTCCAAAGAGGAGGTTGTTATGAGTCACACAAATCACAGTCACAGCCAGGAAGAGGCACCCAGAAGCAGAAGCAGCTGCCACAAAAAAATCTTGTGGACCCCAACTGTGGGCCCAGGGCAGAGCCAGTAGCCTCTGGCTCACTCCTCACCACAGCATCTGTCTTAAATGACTCAGAAGGAACTTGCTAGTGAGTCAAGCGGCAGAGCCAAGACCCACATCTGAATCATCTGACCCCAACATCATGCCCTTCCCCTTCACCACTGCCCACCTCCTAAGCGCTGGTGAGGACAGCCCTCAGGTTAGATTGCAATAGTCTGTTTATGCCTGTCTGCAAGGTGGTCAGGAGCCACTTAGACACAGGGATTCTGTTCCATTCATCTTCAGTGGTTTACAAGAGCTCAGCTCTGAGTAGATGCTCCAGAAATCCTTTCAAATGCAGTCCTGAATGGGAGAGTTAATGAACAGATTCACCCCTCTCCTATCAGTAAGGATCCTTGGCCAGGAGGAAACCTCTTGGAGCAGAATATCTTTCCATTACACCCAAAAGGAGGCTTGCTAAACATCTGCATGTGTGCATACACACACACACACACACACACATACACACACAAGGGAAAGTACACCACGTTTTTCTAACTATTATGTTATAATAATAATAATAAAAATACAAAAATAAGAAAAAAAACATTTGGTGCTTACTATTTGCAAGGGAAAATCCTACTGTGTGTATATATGAATGTGGTTTGGGAGTAAATGTGTGGCTGTCTTCCTCACCACCACAATCATATAAAGTGAATACTGATATTATCCTCATTTTATACATGAGTAACCCAAGGCACAGAGAAGTTAGGAAATTTGTCTAAGGTCACACACCTGTTAGGTACAAGGGCTGGATATAGAACCTATGCGGTCTATT